AAAAAAAAAAAAAAAAAAAACACTAATATTAATTCGATCTAATGTATTCGACTACGACGTGATATTATCATGTTTTCAACATAACGAAATCGATACTAGATTTCAATACGCGATACTGGCCGAAGGATCGATGATATCGGGATATCGGATCGCCCGTCCCTATTTAAAAAGCGGAACCGTCGTATACAATAACGTAATAATAGTAAATAGCGCGTTCGTGCAGTTTTGTTACACAACAATATAAGACAAGTAGAAAATTCTGTACCCGAATACGCGTTAAACACAAAATTAAAAAAAAAAAAAAAAAAAAAAAAAACGAAATTACCTGTCCGAGTGTATCGTCAATGGGCCGGGGAGTCGGAGGTTGCGGATATTTATTTTTATTTTTTTTTTTTTCTCATTAACGAACAAATAAATTTGTCCGAAACCAAACCGATCCGGTCGCGAAATAATAATGGAGAATAATAATAATTGTATCATCATCCGAGGAACTAAAACCTAAAAACTATTAAAACGCACAATGCTCCGCGATGATGATTGACCCTGCTATACTATATATGTTATTATAAAATTACTCCACATATGGGTTTCGCTAAATAAATATGTTTTTTTTTTTTTTTTTCCGTCAATTTTTCCGACACGGGCTTGTCCATTCGTTACACGCTGTATTGATGTTACATCAGTTCACGTCACACGACTATGTATACACACACAGGTATTATTATGTTGCCGACAAAAAGTGTCCTGCACGCATATACGCTGTCCAGGAAACATAATGAGTTGCGTGCGTACCCATATAATGTACAGCGTCCGCGTCGAAATCGTTGTGTACCCGCACCCAGGCGCGTATCCAGAATTTTATTTCGGGTGTTTGGGGGGGCCGCATCGAAATGCATAAACATCGTCACACAGTAAAATAGAAAAAAAAAAAAACAATATTTAATTTCAATTTAAAATCAATAAAACGTAATCTGAGTAGACTGCTATTGTCTTTCGTTAGACCATGGAAATAATTTTTTAATTTTCTTATAGGAGGGTGGGGGTGCAGCCTACTCAGCCTCCCCTCCCTCCCGTTCAACACGACCCTACCCATACCTATTCGCGTCCGTTAAAAACGAATTGATCGATCGTTTATGCTTTTCGATATTTATCCTGAACCCATGTAACGTCATGGCCATAATGTTGAAAATCGGATGATTTTTTTGAGACCGATGATTTCAACTTTTCGTCCGGCAAAACCGCTACGACGTTTAGTGCTGTTTTTTTTTATGCAACAGTGTGCACCTCAAGAACACATTGGTCGTGTTCGCGCGTTCGGTTGTTTTCTCGATATTTTAATTTTCAAGCGAGTTGCGCGTAGCGCGTATAACGATTTGAGAACCATCATATCTCGCTAAAAAAAATAAAACAACGAGGAAATTTGAATTTTTATTGCAGACAATTACACGCCAATTACACGTTTTGATATTGAAACTAACAACACGAAATCATCGGTACTACGAAAAGTTGACATTATCTATTATGATCAGTTGGATATTTTTATTTTTTATTTTTTTTTTTTTTCGACAAATCCAGACTCGAAAATTATAATACAGGAGAAAATGTTTTTCGTTTTGACGATGCTAACCGATTTACAATAACGACGTACGATTTGTATTATATAGTATACAAGTGAGACACGTATACCGGGGGATTTTTAAGGGACGGTGAGACCCTTCCGCTCCCCGAATTTATGAAAAAGCTCTATATTGGACCTTTAGTTAAAAATGTTTAATTTGTTCAATTATATGTTAACAACATGTTAGGCGCACACTGCGTGTATAGGTATGTATATTAACAGACAAATGTCCGAAAATCGTTTTTATTCTTGTCAGACGTTTATATGCGTACAAAATTTTAAAACACCGAAAAGCCAATTAAATTTTTAAGAGGGGTAATAGTGTATTCGTAAACCTAACTTCGTATTATTTTATTTATTATAATTATCGGTCGTAATTTAAACGAAAAACCCGTTGATCGGGTATTCCATTTTAACATCGATACACGATAAATAAAATTTTTCGCCACTATCGCGGTTCTGATATTTACGTTTTATGGAAATATTTGTCGACTTTCAACGGAACGGAAGATAACACCCGTACAGTATACAACGATACACGTGTCGTATTAAACGCTCCGAATCGTTGTTTTCTTAACCGTATAGGAAACTGCATGCGAAATCCGTATGGTTTGAACCGACGGGTATACCGAGATAGGCGCAGAGATATCGTGAACTATATCAGCCGTAATTTAACGATATTACAATTGTTGTTATCATTGTCCACAATAAAACACCGGTGAACTGGATAAACAAAGTCGTTTTACGGTATCTATGTTTTCGAAACGCGACGTTAACACGCCCGAAAAATAATATTGTCCCTCTGATGATGGTTTATTATGTTCCCAAGAACTAGACATGTGCGAAAATTTCGAATAAAATTGAATTTGATTTTGTACGGAAATTATATAATAACACTGTGCTGCAGTATAACCGTTCACCGGGCAATTTATGTTTACGAAATTTTCGAAATTTTACCCTATTTATCGATAATTTAATTTTCGTCTTCACGTCAGATTTTATTCAATAATAAAAACGAAAAATTTGGAAAAAAAAATATACATCCTATTTTCTCCGTCTCGTAAAAACGTACTTCTATATTATATATTATGGTTACTATACACAGTGCAGTGTACTACACACTGTATCTATTCTTTTATTTTTCATTTTTTTTTTTTTTTTTTTCCTAACCGTATATTAGCCGCACATGCCGCGCCGAGTGTAGAAAAAAAATATTTTCGACGTTGAAAAAAAATATGAATTTTTTTCTTAGAATTCACCTACCTATAGGTTCGTCTACACAATATTCTGCTCAATCAAAAACGTTTACACACTTCGCTGTGCAACGATCGTATAAACATACAGGGTGATTTTTTTTTTCTACGCTATCCGTTACCGAGCGTTATTATAATCGATTTAGCCTTTTTTCCTATGTATTTTACGTCCGCCTATAAATTCCAAACTGTCATAAACTGTAAATCCCATATTAGAGTGATTTCGATAAGTACGTTCGAACGTTTGTCAAAAACACGATTGGCGTTTCGTATCCGCGTTGTTGACAGTTGTTTTGTTATCGGAATGCTGGCGGCAATTAAAAATACGACCACTCGTTTAGTACCTATATAACACGTGTGGTAATTTTTGCGGGGTCTCGATGAGTTTTTTTTTTCGCTTTTCACCGTCTAACACCGAGCGTATAGGTATAAATCTTTACGATATAATTCTTCTCGATTCTTATTGGTTTTCAACGGTATTTTCCTAAATAATCGCGTGAAATTACAAATTGTCCGCAACTGCGGTAGGGCGATCCTGCATACGATGCAGGATTGTTTTTTTTTCAGCTTTGTGTCTTGTTGTCCCGACGAACTTCTTTCAGGACGCTTTTTGTCTTGTTTTTGTTTGTTTTTTTTTTTTTTATTTCGGTGCCAATGTTTATTCGGTGTTAATTCTCGTTTTATTCGATTAGATATACATAATATACGTTATAGTTTTAACGTACAGATTAAAATTGTATTTTTGAATAAAATAAATCTGTTGACACACATATTCGTCATAGATTACGACAGCGATTGCGATTGTATTCATGACAAATAATAACCACAAGAATCGACGTACTGCCGGCGTCAATACATCCGAGTTGTACCGCGGGTATATTTAAAACAGTTAAATAATATAGGCGTAATTATTATGAAAAATTATCAAAAAAAAAAAAAAAAAAAAAACCTATATGATAATTAATAGATATCACACACTTCGAATGCGTATTACTGAAATTGATTTCGTCTTGTTTATATTTAATTTTTGTTTTTTTTTTTTTTTTCAAACACGGTCACCCCTCGGGGTGCGGTCGCGACTATAGACTTCGGGCGGGCCGCGAGCGGATCGCTCGGGAAAACGCGTCGATATATTTTCGAAAAACGGGCGCCGGCGAACGGAAACTTCGATAACGATCGGCGGCGAGAGAACCGCCCTGTATGCGTAGCACAGCGTATGTGGTGTGTATTATACGGTATACGCGCTGGGCATACACGCGTTTTAGGAATATTAAGTCTAACAATGGGCGAATATTGAATATTCTGTCCGCCGACCGGCGGGCAGACGGGAGGCGGCGGCGGCGGCGGCGGCGGACCGCAAAAACGTTAATAAGTGGGCAAATCCATCAACCTATATATAGTGCGACGAAAAAAAAAATTATAAAAAAAAAAAAAAAAAAAATAAATAGTAATAATAACATATATACAGTGTAAAAACCGAGGACGGGTAAATAGTCGGATTATAATCGCCGTCGGACTGTTGCAAGTTTGTTGAACTCTTCGCCGCAAATATACATAAGCACACACACACACACACACACACACACACACACACACACATATACGCGCATATATACTTATATTACGCGCGCGATAATATAATATAATAATTTTCGCGCGGACTAATGGACCTGGCCTATCTTCCGACGACCGCTCGGTCACCGCGGCTCGCGCGCGCGCCGCTTAGGTCGTACACCTTTGGTCCAAATTTCGTGCGGTAGTATTATATACGAGCGATATGTATGTGTGTGTGTGTGTGTGTGTGTAGGTATATACGTATATAGTTATACGTACTTACCGTATACACGCACACGCACGGGCGACGAATTTAATATTCGCAATGCGAATGTTATCCTCGGCCGACTGTAAGCCATACGCTTCTCGTCGTAAGTATATCACGCGCCAATTCTGTGGCTGTCGGTGCGCAAAAGAGCCAAAGTCACGTTTCGCGGTTGTTGGGAAACGTGGGCTTTGAAATTCGAATTTCCCGCAATACGACGCTCTGCGTGTATTTCATTACACGCGAACGGTCGTGTGACTTTCAATTTTCAGAAAAATTCCAAATAATTTTTATTTAGACAAATTGTAGGCTTTTTATTATTTTTACTTTGGAAAATTCACATTGGCCCTTCTCGCATCGAGCCGCATCAATTATATTTTCTTATATACACGCGCGGATCGCGGCATATAGACGCGACTAGACCGTCGACTATTGGGGGTGCTAAAATTATAGACGCGGTGTGAGCAACGCCCTCGCAATCCCCTTTATACACGTAACTCATAATAAGCATAGGCACTAGACATTTAATTTTCGATTTTTTGCATAAAAACGTAGCATGACCTTTTAAACTTTATTTGTTATATTACGCGCGCATTTTCATAACAATACACGAACGAGTGAACGCTCAAACAGTCTGGTAGATTTTTTTTTTCTTTTTGCTCATCGTTGAATTTTTCTGATACCGGGTGCCGATTTCGTTTAGCACGGATAATACACCCTATCACACAACACACACGTGTACAATATTACAAATACCTATTATCGTATATATTATAATGTTTTATTTATGTACGTAATTAATAATTACTAATTATTGTATAGCGGGCGTTGGACGCGGAACACTGAGGGACGGGAGCCTTCGAATCGCGACGGGAATCTCTCCCACCGCCCCTATCGCGTGTACTTTCTCCTCCGAAGACGTTCGTAAAAATACGCGTACCCGAGTTCCTGCAGCAAACACGCCCGTGCACTTTACGCCGCAGATGAACCAATTCACTGGGGTTTTCTCGCCCTCGTTTTCCTCTATAAAGACGTGCTTTAATTAAATTTCTAAACACAAATTAAGCTTGAGTAGCTCAGTACACTGCGTGAAACTTAGCCGATAAACGGGCTTAATATTATGAGATTTTTCAATAGCGTCCCTTTAGACTTGGTGGAAGTTTCGAATGCCTGAAGTGACGCTTAACTTAAAATCTAAAATAGATCTAAAGTTTATCTTTCATAATGCATTCGTATAAAGTACGGATTTCCAGCAGGTTTTTCGCATAGTTATAAGTCTGTGTAAAACGGAGTGGAAATTGGAGTTGATTGGTAGTTCTTTTTCATTATTAAAAAATTATGGTTTATTGAAATCAGTTCTTATATTTAAACTAAATACCAATAGCAAGGGCGGCCAAACGGTAGATAGCTGACGATTTTAATGTCGATCACGCTCTGTTGGATTTAATATGTATACAATTAGTAGAAAAATTTTAGCTGTCGATAATTTTTATCATAATAGATCATTATTTTGTTATCAGTTTATCGAGTGGTAAAGTTCAGCAGTGCTTGTACTGGCAATTTTATTCCTGATACATTTGTTTTATTATATTATATATTATATTCAAGTCTTAAATATACAAATATCATGAAAAAAATTATTTAACTATACATTTTAATTTTAATGTTTGTACTCATATTGTGTTTATTATTAATACCTATTGGTTAACTAATAATTATACGTGTTTTTTTTTATTTATACGGAAGTCGTTTCTCGAAGGAAAAATATATTCTTAGTTAATCTCTACTAAAAAAAATTTGGCTACCTCTAACCTATAGACTGCCCAGAAACCAATTATGTAATTGGGCTCGTAGCCGCCCGTCACGCGCTGAAGTCTGGAAATTATATTTACATACGGAAGCGGACGAACAGGTCCGAGTGCCGGATTTTTAAAATTCGGCTCCCCCCCCTAAAGGGTGGGTGAGGTGACACGGAGGGTTTTTTTGAAACCCAATTTATTTTCTTTGAGTTTTACGGTCACTTATAATATGTACTATTCACACAGCCCCACGGATGACGGCAATTCAATCGTTTGCTGATTCGGTTGTCCCCGCGGGGTAAGGAAATATTTTTTGAAGCAAAAAAAAAAAAATAAAATAAAATAAACGAACGGTCGACAACGGTATTAACTGTGCGATAGGGACGGAGTTGGAAACGGACATTAGCGGGGACGAAACGGCTAGTTAGTATACGCAGTGGCGTACCGAAGATTTGTCTACGGTGAAGGGATGGAGCGGTAGGTTTAGGAGTCGACAACCTTCTTAACCGTGTCTATATGATCAGAAAAAATAAAAAAAATCAATGAGGGTGGGGGGTATGTGTGAGAACACCCAAATTCCTGCCCCCGCACACCCCGGTTACGTCGCTGAGCATACGTAATAAGCGCCTTCGACGGGTCGGTATATTACTATTCGTAATAGAACTACTGTACATGAATATTATATGGAACTGTATAATAATAATAATAAAAAAAAAAAAAATATTACGCGCGTGCACGCTCCGAAAACCGATTAATAATAAGTGGTATAGATAATTGGGTACCCGTTGCAGTCGCGCGGTCCGTGTCATTCGGTCGTCGGCTTCCAGATATTATTATATATTTACTACTATAGGCTGTCCTCCGCCCGGCGTTGTCCGGACCGAGTTTTTCGTTTTTTTTTTTTTTTTTTTTTTTTTTTGTTTCAACCGTATCGCCATTCCGTAACCCCCATTTTACCCCCGATTATATTCGATAAGATTTAATACACGCGAACGGCAATCCCGTATCGGTATTTAATCACAACAACCCACCCCCTCCCCAATAATAATAACAATATTAATGAAATCATTTTTTTTTTTTTTTTTTTAAATACCGGTTTTCTTTAAAACGTCTAAAATTCGGGAAAAATGCCTATGCAACATTGTACAAAAACCGTACACAATGTCCTGTAATATGAACAAAATAATGTGAAATATGCGAAATAAAATCTGTACGGCATTCTGAATCAAGGGAGCGTGAAACGAATATTTAGCCAAGATAACATTTTACAGGGTTATAGGGGAGAAAACGCAAAAGTCGTTAACTGGCTATCTCTACAGATAGCCTGTCCGTATGCACAATTTCAACCCGTACCACTGAACGAATCGGCCCGGACACGTTATTTTATAAATTTATTTACAACTAGCTGACCCGGCAATGCTTTGCTATCACTACGGAAAGCACGGTAAATAATAGTGATAATAATAATAATAATAGTTTTCTCGTCCGCGCGATAATCGAATTCTCGTCCGCATCGCCGGGGCAACTGTCGGATAAACAATTAGATATTCGTGTCGAAAATACCATTTGAATCCCTTAACCTACTCCCCCCCCCGCTCGGTGGTTGAGTTTTCAATTTTCGCAATAACCGAATTTCAGCCCCGAACCAGGTCAGGGTACGTGCCGTTTTTACATTATGATCGCTGCATTATGTCCGCGCGTCCTTCGAGATACGGTAGCGCACGAATAACCGGGCGAGCTACACCGAGGAAATCTCGCCGGGGGCCGCGGCACTCAGAACCGTTTTCGATTAAATTCGCGTCGCCGGTTTTGTCCGTGCGCTGTGCG